AGCGCGCCAGGCTGAATCCCGTACGATAATGCATTTTCTAGTACGGCTTCTTAGGGACGAATTCACTTGTTTCGGGCGAAGGACCTTGCTTTCTGATGCATTTGCCACCAGCTCAGTGAATTGGGTGACGAACAACGTCCAGGCGACATCCGGCGGCTTCTCGGCCAGGAAGGACCAGTCGGTTTCTTGACCGAACTTGGACAGTATATCGCAATGTGTAACGACATCGGTTTCCACGTTGTTCTCACTGATGTACTTCGAGTAACAGATGTAACGAAAGAGCAACATCCCGTGATCGCTACGGTCAAGTGGTGCACCTATGGTCACGGTGTCGACCATTAGTTCCTCGTTGGAGAGCACAAGGTCCAAAACAGAGGGCGGATCACCCGTTCGGAATCGCGTGCGAGAGGTGACATGGTTGTACAGAGGTACATCGGCATCACCTCTTACAAATCCTCTTTGCATTCTTCGCTGTGCGATGCTGAAAATTCGATTGGGTGCAGGTTGAAGACCACCATCAGAAGGACGTAACTCTATGATCGTGCCAGGACACGTTTCATCGCAGAAGCCAGGCATTTATCCATTTCCAAGGTGGACATTGGAGGGCGGTAAACTATCGCTAGTAAACACACAACACCACATCTTAGGTGCATACGACACCAAAGAGCGTCGACGACTTGCGTTTCTGCGTCCTCAAAGACATCAACGTGCAGGTCGGATTGATAATGCAGGAGCACTCCCCCTCCTCTGCCAGGTCGATCGTTTCGTATGGAAGTCATGCCGGGTAGGGCAATCTCAGCATCCGTGATCTCCGTGTTCAATCACGTTTCCGTGACCATAACTAGGTCCCAAGGGGTGAAGAGCTGAGAAATACGAAGTACGGTTAGCTTGTTGAGAAGACCTAGTGCGTCGGTATACAAGCAGGTGAGGGCATCGGTGGTCAGAAGCGTGTTTGTGAATATTGGTTTCCGGTGAGGGTCTATGCCGAGCCTTACGGCGTCGGCTGTCGGTCGTTTTTTGTAGGACCGATGACGCAGGCTCTAGGACCAGTTCGGGTTGTTGTATAGAGCTCTCAGCGCCAACAAGAGGGTGATCATCCTGTCCTCCTTCAGCTGTCGACGTGTTTTGGCATTGTTTCCGTTCTGAGCTACACGGTGACAGAATTGTATTGGTAAGTTGCTTGCTCAGTGTTACATTGTCTATCTGTGGCCCGGTGCCTATTGCCTTTGTACGCATTGCAGATGGCAGCATTTTACGCTTTTTCTGCCACATTTTGATCATATGTTTTGCCATCAGTTCGGAGTGCAATGATACTTTCATCACTCGGGGTCCACACCTGTTGTAGTTAGGTGAAAGCGGTAACCTTGATGTCGAATTAGCGATAACATTTTCGAGTGAGAGTACTTCACGAATAAAACGCCATTTATCCCAGCCATGCGTTTTGACCTCTAGCTCGTTTAGTGACTGGAGCTCGGGGACACTGTGAACAAGGATAGATTTTGCGTCTTGTTGTTTACGGAAGTCATCCGGATTTTGTTTGCGTTTCTGGCGTTCGCTCCAAGGAACATCTGGAAATATTCGAACAGTGCATGTGGTGGTACGGAGACGAGTGGCTGACAAGAGAACTGCCTCTGCATCATTACCTGACTGAAGTGTTACCTGGAGTAACCGCGGTTCACTGTAGTGTACGGAGTTTGGATGACGGATGAGACGTATCATACTGCCCGGTTTAGCTTGAACCCATATTAGTTGACACATGGAGTCCGACTGTTTTTGTCTTCTAGTATCTTATCTTCTATGAAGTTCGTCCTGGATTCAGTCACCTTAGAGCAGAGAACAGTCAGAGAAGTATGGTAGTGTTTCATCTTCTCCATTTTGGAGAGACCAGTGGCTGCTTTCTTCGATTGGACAAATCATAGGGTTTTGATTCCCGTGGTCGTATTGGCAATAATGACTCGTTTGGCAGCGGGTGGGGTTGCAATGGGAGATGCCTCCGTCATATCGGTAGCAACAACGGATGCGTAGGTTGTCGGCCCTCTAACAGTGTTTAGTCTGGCGGCTGATTCTGTTGAAAAATGTGTGGTGAAGGCATTTTTATGAGCAGACGCCAGTGTCCGAGGGGCTAACTCTGGCTCATTACTCTTACGCTGTGCTGAATTAGAGCTTGATGATGAGCATCGACTTCGAGACACTGATTTGTCTGGTTCATGTGGTACAGCTTTCACGGCTGCCACCTGCTCTACAATCTTTGTCAGCCTATCCTACTTCTGCGCCAACTCAGTTATACATTTGACGAGGGAAAGAGACATACACTCAGTGCAGAACCAGAGAGAAGCAGTTGTACTATTAAGATTTTTTAGCTGGCTGAGACTAAGGTGAGCATAGCGAAAACGGAAGTCTTTTCGGAAGTTTCTGCATTCTATTCCAAATTGCAGAAGTTTTACACAGCTGTCTACGCCACAACTAACGTTTATTTCGGAAGCTTTGGGCTTAGCTTTCCGTGGGCAACCAGTACGTGCCATTGTGACTGTCAGATCTGCGGAAGCAGTTCGTTGCAACGTCTGCACTTGTATGCTGCATCTAAACGCCCTTGATCAAGCTGGTGGTCTGGCAGACACCTGTTCGATTGCCGTAGAACAAATCCAAGATGGCGGACATAGATGGCAGTTGGGCTAATCAGTGCGATCTCCGACAGTAGCCGGGGAATATCCACCAAATTCGCGCAGATGGAAAAATACACCAAAAGTAAAGTACTGGTGAAAACTTCACACAGAGTAAACACATATAACACAGTATTTACAAAGCAAAAGTAGAATCCAGAAAGGTAAAGCAAAAAATTCCGCGGCGTCTGTGGGTACAGCTCAATGAAGGATGGGGCAATCAGGCATGCTTCGACGCCGAACTACATGTGGTCTGGTATGCGCCGTGTTCCTGTAGTTCAGTTGTACAAGTGCTTACCAATGCACTAATGCTCGGCCTCCTATAACTTCAGCACGGCTCTAATGAACCAAACTGCACCCATCTGGCGTAGGCTGTGAATTTTGAAGTTTTACAAAACTGCCAGTCATCGCCACTAGCATTCCGCAACCAAGCGACTTATGAGTAACACTCCTAGAGTGGATATTCTAAATCTACACCACTGAAGTATGAAGTTCAGTTGCACATGTCAAACTGAAAATCCCGTAAGCACAGATAATAGAAAATTCGCCCAAATAGCACCTACTACTTGTACCTACATTGTCCTTGTTCGAGAAGCCATAGGTCTCGGCGTCATGCCTATCATCTGCATGGGTAGTACCCTGCGTGACAGTGGAGAGTGGATTGAACTCTATGGCAGTGAGCTTGTTAGTATAGACTGACCTCCGTTGTCGCTGACGGCCTAATGTCGTAAGTCGCCAGTGTAGAGAGATCATAGGTTCGGTTCCTGCTTGACGTGTGGATGAGCCCTGCTGGCAAATCTAATAGCACGAAACTGTAATACAGTACGTTTCTGAATGCGTGAGACACAACCTGATTGTGAAGGAACTGCAACAAAAAAGCTGCAGATTAGTTCGCATTCATGCTAAGGACTGGATTTAGTCTTATGATCATATTAGAGGAAATTTTGTGTACACTAGCTCCTAAAAGTCAGTCCTCATAGGTCCTGTTAGCGTCTGCGATATCAGACGCAATTCGATCACAATGTTGATCTTAGTAGACGGTGGTTGTGTTCATCTTATTTTGGTACTCTGATTATTGCTGCTCCAAAACCGGCGAGAAGCGCGGTCATCAGGGCCGAATTATGCCTCAACTGTGATTTGTAGAATGTTCTATTGATAAGGTACCACTAGCTGATTCAGCCTGATGATGAGCCGCCCATGAATAAACGTATTACGTGTACTTCATGGAAGTATGCAGTGGATTACACTGGAAGGGAATTACTAGGTGAGAAAGAAGATTGAACACTTGGATGTTGTAGAAAAAGGAACCCATTTTGGCTCTTAGGAATACTCATCGCGCCTGAATTCTAACACAGGTCATAAGCAAACAACACTCTAAGCGGGGTCACCAACACTCGCCTCGAACCTATGCTTGGAATATTGGTATTAAGGTCATCGATTAACCAACACAATCGGAATACAAGACATGATGAGATCTATAAACTACACAACGAAAATTTTCTTTTTCTATATTACCCTCATATCTACTCAGGACAGGCTTAAGGTATACGTGAGGAGGCTTGATATCTGGATCAATGACATCAAAAGTATAGCTCTTTAGTAACACTACTTGGTCCATTGCAGATGAAAAGAAATTCAAACCAGACCTGGTTTCAATCAACCTAAAGCAAATAGCATGTACCAGCAAATGATTACCACGAACCGAGCTCATCCAACCATCTCCGTTTGACTGAAACTATTCAACTGCGGGCAGCATGAGGGCCAAACATGCCTCACACTAATTTAACACATGAGTTGCAGTCACTGCGGCTGTGGGTCTCGCATTTTAAAAACCGACAGTAAATTTGGCGGCTAGATCAAAGACTATGTATTACGTCGGTTCAGTGGTCACTCTAGAGACTGTTTCACTTATCAACTGAAATGTGTGCTAACTGCCATCCCTGCTGCACAGTCAATGATGAAGTGGCAAATGAGTTTCATAACAGAGGCTTGTCAGTAGGAGGTACGGCATTCCACTCACCCAACTTCTGCTATGCTGCAGAAAATGCTCGCCCTTCAGGTAACTCTAGTGCAAAGGTAGAGGTTTGTCGTAGTGAGGTTAAAACCTATCCGTCACGCACATGTTGGCACTTCGCCGCCCTGGAATCCTAGGCCTATCACACCACCAACCCGTTAGCAATTAGTGTGTGAGCACTTTCAAGCGATACATCAACACGCACTCTGATTGGCGTGACAACAACCAACCAAACGTATAAAACCAGGAATAAACACTTCTGTAGCACTGGAATTCCGCTACCCTAGACGAAACAAGCCGGTCGTTTGCGTCATTGTTACCATACAATGTGGGTCACTCTAGCTGCTATCCTGAACATATTGTTGCTGGCCAACTCTACTGGAGAACCGAGTGTATTCATCACTATGTCGCCTAATGTGATAGTCGGTGAGGCGAATACCATTATGGTGAGAACATCAGTTGGAGCTTCTAAGGTTAAGATGGTCACCATTCTACCCGGGACACCGGAGAAAGTTGTCAAAAACGAGGTGTATCCTATTCGTTCTCTGAGTGGGGATCAACGCGGGGTTGACATTCAGTATCGGCCGAACTTTTTATTAATGACATTAACATCACAAGAGGTGATTTTTAACTTCACCGTGTACTTTTGCTCTGGTAAAGCCTGTTCTGTGGTGACCAAGAAAAATCTGACCGAAAGAGTTCAGTTCATCCGAAGACCCATCATCGTTTTGGGGGAAACAGACAAACCACTCTACCGTCCCGGTGAAACCGTTCGCTTCCGTTTCCTCGCAGTGACAACACAACTTATCACTCCCTTTACTAAACCAGCCAACTATCCACGCAAAAAGCTCATTCAGCTCAAAGATGGCAATCTCACATTAGTGGATTTGACAAAAAAAGATGAAGAAAAGTTGAACCGAATGCAGTTATATGAAATCACTTTGATGGATAGTATGGGGAATCGTGTCAAAATGTGGCGCAACGTTACACCGTGGGAAGCTACCGGATTGCAGTACACGCTGCTACCAGACTCACCAGAAGGTAAATGGACCATCACAGTCATGGTTATGGACCAGACCGAACAATTTGCTTTCCAGGTGCGTCAGTACGTGTTACAGCGTTTTGTAATCACAGTAAATACCCCAACCGATCTATCACTTGAGTCCACTTATGCACAGTTTTCGGTGTGCTCTAAATATTCAAACGGTCCACCCATGCAAGGATTTGTGCGAGCCCATCTGTGCGTCTGTTCGAAGCCACGGGATGAATCCGATGAGGAGAATACCAAACAAGCCATTTTGGATGGAGGCACATGCTCGGCTGAAGCATACTCAAACAAACCACGACCATGTGCGATTGCCCAGCTCGTAGTCGACGATACTGGATGTGCCCTGTTCAACATGTCCACCCAGCCACTCGGATTGAACAAGCCAGAGCATTCCCAATGGAATCAAGTGGCGGTTGTATGCGCAAATGTGGAAGAGGAGGGTACAAAATCCAATGTAGCTGACTGCAAAATTGGAGTGGAGTTGACGCGACGTACAGATGAACCGAAGCTGGAAATACAGAGTGTATACAAGGTTGGACTTCCAATTACCGGGTTCCTCACCGCACCTAAATTGTCGAACACACGGGTGAAGCTCATGGTATCAGAACAGCCTGAAGGGTGTGGGTGGGGGTTTCGACGCGGCGGTTGGGCGTCACAGAACACTCATCTCTATTCTGCAGTGTTGACCGTGAATCAAATGGGCGCTGCTAAATTTCTGATCCCACCTGTCAACTCGACAGAATCCATCACCGTCAAAGTTACTCACAACGATGTCGATCAGAGTGAGCAAACGGCAGCCAAGATGATAGCACCAGCTATGCGATATATTCGACCAGTTGATGACAGTGTGGTGGCTAGCGAAACGCTCAGACCATGGCGCGATATACAGAGCGTGGTCATGCAGTTGTGGCCTACGGAAGCATCCGTTCAGTACTCGTGTCCTGGCGAGGTGAGTTTCCAAGTGATTGCCAACACACAGCTGGCCGACAAAGTGTTCTATATTCAGTCCAATGTGAGGGGGGAAATCTTGACTCACGTTATACCTGCAACTTCTAAAGGATCAGAACCATGTATAGATGTTGACGGAGAGTTAGGGCATTATCGTTGCCTCAAACCCACAGGAGATCGCATCGAGTGCCTCCATGGATGGACTGGTGATAACTGTTTGAAGCCTGTTTGTGCGGCGGAGTGCCATCTCCGTGGTGGTACCTGCGATTTGCCGAATGGCTGTATCTGTCTTGAAGGCTGGAGCGGTTCCAACTGTGATAATTGTGTTCGACTAGAAGGTTGTAATCATGGAACATGCGTCACGGGAAATGATTGTGTGTGCAATCCAGGATGGAGTGGATATCTCTGTGATAGGAAAATTGTAGAGTACGAGAGGATAGCGGAACACAGAGATAGAAAGGAATCGCCCGAGACGCGTTTCACTGAAATCATAAAAAACATTAAACATAAGAGGGCATCAAACAAGCGGATAATGCGGACGCTATTTAGGCGGAAAATTAAATTCAACTTAACAGGAGACTGGGGCCCAGATGCGACCGTGGTTGTGTACTTCTATCAAAACAGTGATTCAGGAAAAGTTATCGTTCCAACTGTGGTGAAACTGGAGAATATGTATCAATGTATCAGTCGCTCAGTCGCAAAGCTGGTGCAGTCTGGTAAGAAGGGAATGAAGTTTGATGCCTCTCGTGTTAGCCCTGGTCAAGGTGTCCAATTAGTCATCTCCCCCACCGGTATGGGACGCCTTCCATACAACACGACCGACGAAACTGAGGGGGTGTGTTTTGTCCGCATTTCCGATGTGACTCTGCAAAATTTCGACCAAGATGAAAATGTGATTGATCGCATCTCTGTTGCCAAACGTATACAACTGCTGACCACAGCTAGCTCGCAGTCGTCAACAATCCCCACTACTTCTACGGCAGCATTTCAAAGCGCAGGTCTACTTGTAAGTTCATCTACTGAACTGGACGTCATTCAGCCGTCTCGGACGGGATGTCTATTTACAGGGCTAGCAAATGGGCCAATTCCTATGGCTTTTCATTTGCGGTCACCAGTAAGTAACATGTTTTCAATAACGCCACCTGCGCCACCGAAACCGAGGATGCGCAGTGACTTCCCGGAAGTATGGAAATTCGAGGTATATAGAATTAACTCGTCGAGCATAATGAAACAGCTCACCGCACCAGATACCATAACCACTTGGATCGCTTCCGCGTTCTGCACAACTCAATCCAACGGACTTTGGATTCCAGATGATGAGAATTTGACTGTCAGCATGCCATTCTACGTCGATATCACCTTACCGGTACACGTGAAACGGGGCGAGATACTCTACTTACCAGTCAGCGTGTTTATGGAAACAGACACAGGAGGTTCCCAAAAATGTTTGGAGGCTCAAGTACAAACCACTGTGGACGCGAATGATTGGGTTAGAGTGGGGACCAGCTCGTACACTGGTTGTGTCTGCGAGGGCGAGAAAACAACTTTCCAACTTGGACTGCTGCCAGTACGGATGGGGCAACTGAATGTGACCGTGGAAGCACAAGCCACAGTCGGTAGTCAATTATGCAACCAGGAGATGGATCCCGTTGTTCAAAAGGAGGACGAAGTGAAAGTACACGTGCTCTCAGACATGATTCAACGGCAGATACGTGTAATTCCGGAGGGTGTCCCTCAGGAACTGGCTATTGGTGGAATCCTCCACATCCAACCGAACGAAACGGTGACGAAGCAAGCGTTCCCCATCAGCCTACCAAGTAAGATTGTCAGCGATTCTCTGCGAATCTACATATCGTATTCCGATGATATTCTCGGTCCAGCACTAAACAATTTAGACAGCCTTATACGTCTCCCATTGGGGTGTGGTGAGCAAAATATGGTTCTTGTCGCCCCAAGTGTGTACGCGTTGAGTTATCTTATGTCGATGCACTCAGCAAGCTCTGATCGCACAGTGACTTTGATAAACCAAGCCAGAAATTACATTGTAATGGGCTACCAGCGCCAGCTAAACTATAGACTATCGGACGGTTCCTATTCGGCCTTCGGCGAATCTGATAAGCATGGGAGCACTTGGCTGACCGCATTTGTACTCAAGGTGTTCGCGAGAGCCAACAAAGTGGACAGCAGTCTATCCGTTGATTGGACAATGTTGTTCAACGAAACTATTGCATTTCTGAAACAACGTCAGAATCTGACTGGATCCGGGTGCTTTGTGGAGATGGGTCGTGTGATCCACACGGCAATGCAAGGTGGCACTGGCAATCAACTCGACCTAAGTTCAGAGGAGCTCCTCACTGCCTACGTTTTGACTGCATTAGTTGAGACCATACCAGAAGGAGAAGAGGAAGCCTACTCACCTGAACTAAGTCAAATGATTCAGGCTGGAATGAAGTGTCTCAAGGTGGGAATGCTGGGTGAATTGACATCCAGCGATCGGTTGCAAAACGTGTCCACCTACGGATTGACGCAGCTGGCACTAGCGTTAGCCTTTTGCGAACCACAAAATCCCTTGATGTCTGTTGTCGCAAGCGAAATAATTAAAAGAAGGTTATCGAACTCCGCCGCATCTGGCTTTTACTGGACCAATGATGGAAAGAAGGTGATGGGTGAAGCAAGTGCCCTGGATATTGAGACGACGAGCTACGCATACTTGGCTCTGGCCAAAACTGGTGTGCAATTCTCCGATCTGTTCTCTATCGTTCGCTGGTTATCCTCGCAGCAATCCGCCACTGGGGGATTTCGTTCCACTCAGGACACCATTTCAGCATTGGAAGTAATCAGCGATGGCGCAAAACGACTCGGTCTGGACCAAAGGGCCAGCAGTGAATTACAAGAGCTTACAGTTGTCGCCACCATACTGCCGGCCAATATTTCGGTTAGTTCTACTCTGATGGATAGCAACATGCGCGTTGTCAATCGATTCGCGGTTCCAGAAACTATGCCGGCTGATGTTAAATATGTTGAATGGGCTGTCTCGTCGAATGGTGCTTCACGAAGTACCTATCTCTCTGTCCAAACTGAACTCCTTTACAATGTTCCGGATAGGCATGACGTGGAAAATGCCAGCTTTGTGCTGACCACCAGCGTAGTTCAGGGTGCTTTCCCTCAAACGGACACATGCAAGCTTGCCAATATCACGATATGTCTCCGACTACCGGACATCGACCCCAGTCCTCAACCTACCGGAATGCTGCTCATCGAGATCGGTATGGTGAGTGGATGGTCACCAGTGAAAGAAGGTCAGTTCCCTGTTGTCGAACACGACGGCGAGTCACTGAGGAAAGCGGAAAGCGAAAGCGATGATACTATTTCTCTACTCTTCGACGGCTTCACGTCGGAGGAGTTAAACTCCACTGGAAATGAGGGGTGGCCTGGTCTCAAACGATGCGCTGTCGTACTCGTAAAACAGAACTTATACGTGAAGAATTCCCAGCCTGCCGAAGTGAGAGCTAGAGACTACTACGCACCGGACCGATCTGCATCCGTTAACTACTCACTCAGCGACTGTGAATTGGCATGGCTCACCCCGGGTGAAATCCAACCGTCTTCCGACAAAACAGATCACCCGGTCTCCACTATGAGCACTGGTGTCCCGACAACGTTACCGCCGCGCCGGTGTCCCACGTGTGGACTTACAACGGAGGCAAACGACTCACTGGCAAATCAGTTGTATAACGAGCTTTGCACTGGCTACAACAACTTCTTCCTGTTCAGTGTACATTCCGGTTCGGGTGATGAATACAATATAACAATCTCTTCAATCGACTCATCCACTCATGTCGCAAGTTGGAATGCCACTCTGAGCCTGGCTGGCTGCCCATGTCCTGTGGTGTCTACGAGTAAGCAGTTAATGATGTTTTCATCTGGTGCTTTTGACTTTTACCCGGGTGAGCCGGAGGTGAGCATTCGATCGACTCAGTCATCCGCCATCGTTGCATCAGTTCAAGAGATGTTGCCTTACGTGAAAAGTGCATTCGAATTGTGGAAATCCAATGCGACTGTTAATGGGACCGATGATTCGACCTCTCCCTGGATGCGCAACAGCTGGAACTGCAAACGGATTCCAAGTGTGTACCGTTACATACTGACTAAAATGTTGTGATTTTCGCAAGTATAAACAGAGTGACTAGTGTAAACAATTTCAATGAAGCTGGCTGATTTGATTTTGCATGTTGTACTGGTGTTGTGATAGCTGGTTAACATAAATCGTGGTTTCTAATTTGCTTTTAAATCCAAATGGATGTTTTCGTTCAGCTGATATGAGTACTGCAGCTCTTCACCGGTTTCGTCCTCTGAGTAGTTCCTTGAGTTGTCGTAAGTAAAAAGCGAAGGGTTTACAAGACCCACGGATTGGCAAATGAAAATGCAATTCACAGGCAGAATGTTCTTGTGTGGATCTTGAAATTGCAATAGTCTAGAGGTGGTAATTTATCATACTGATGTGTAGTGTTTAACACCTAATTAAATCTCCAGCAGCCTTTCGAATGTGCTGGTAATGCATTCCAGTGTGAACAAATTCTAAGAGAGCAAAACACTTTCAACAATGCAAACAAGAGCGTTGAATTAATAGTTTCCGGTGGTGGCCGCAACATTGTCTCTAAGGGGCTAGATTCAACAATGATTCACGTGGATATTCGCTTTCTGTTAGTATCCAGTTCGTGCGATAGATATTCATGAAGCGTTCGGTATTCTAAGAAGAATACATTGAGTAAACGAAGTTGCGCTTCGTGCTTGAGATCGGATAGTCCACCTGTTAGCCTGGTGTCGTTTATTGGGGGTATGAACCCCATGTTCAACGTGGGGGGGGGAAATATGAGTTACTCATTACGGGTGTCAGCTGTCGATCAAAGGTACCGAGAACTCGTCTCTAAGGTCTTAATTTCATCTTCATCACAATTGCCGCCATGGAACGTTGCAGAGAAATGTCCAAACGTCCATCCACGATCACACCTATTTCATTTTCACTAAACAAGTGTTGTAGAATGTGTCTTGAAACGGTTGCACAGCGTCACCAGGTGGTACTATGCAGAGTTCACGAGTAGCTGGTTCCTTTCTGCTCATTTGTAAATCTCGTGCAACTGGTCCTGGATTTGGGCACCGTCAGACGTCGAATTAATAGATTTTTAGTTCTTGGCATCGTCTGCAAATATTTGCATTGGGTGATGGATATCGCCACGACGTCATTTATATAAGCTGAAAACCAGTTTCTAGTCGTAACCAGATCTTTGCGACAACCCCCATCGGCGCATATATATATATATATATATATATATATATATCATCTCATAGATGACTCGACAAACACCAATTCCCAGTGCGCCCATGGCAAGGACAACGTCAGTCTGATAGTTGTGTTTGACAAGCTATGCATAAACCGATGTAAGCCCAGTGTGTCATAAGGATAAAAAACTTTTTTATTCAATCTCATCAGTCAAGTTGCATCACTTGGTCGGAGAGTGAATAAACCTGCGATGGCCGGATGGTATCTTTAAAGAACTACCAGATATGGTGACGAACAAGCTAGTTTCAGGCGATTCTAAGTGGGAATCAGAAACAGAAAATAACTTAGGACCTCAGTCAATTTAATGCACTAGAAAAAGATGCGCTTAAAATCCTCGTGCGGACGCTCGAGTGGAAGTCACTCATATGAAATATTCATTGCGTCATTATGAAGTCATCTCGAAACCAGTGATACAATAGAGTGTACAGCCCCAGTCTCCTGCAACACAGAGATCTCAACAACGCTCCAGTTTAGTATAACGAAGTGCAAAGTCGTGGGCACGCGCAAATAGCTTATCCTTAAATATAGATTGGGAGAACGGCAGTTGCAACGTGCTCACCAGGAATCATTCTCGTAGTGAATTTTGAATTTGGCGCCTCTAAACCGGCCGAAAAGACATCGAGAAGAGCCGGTCAACAACTTGGACTCTCACAGTGGGCATTCGGCAAGTTCCAGTCATCTATATTTCCGTAAATGCTGAACGGCTATTTGAGGCTCCGTGTAAAATGCACCATCCAAGCCTGGCGTCCCTGGCGCAAACGAGATGCTGATGCGCTTGAAGCTCTAGAACTTATGGCGGCCAAATTTCTATCGGACTTGTATCACCTGTTCTTACAACGCTGACTACAAGCCCTGGGATTGTACTTCGGTGAATATGGGTGTCTGCGAAGAGACCACAATTTGGTTTGCCAAATACTGGCAAACACCAACCACGTCTGTTGTGAACTGTTGCAACTCAGGCAAAATACTAACCTGAATGGTCATCAGCTTAAACTGACCATGCACTACAGGCGACTTGAGTGCCGAGAAAATATTTTCTCCTTTCGAATGTTCCACACATGGAACTCCCCTCCAATTCATGCCACCTCGCATTAAATTAATGCATTTTCAAATACGCCTAGGCTACATGCTACCCCATTTGCATTACGTGAGCAATCTCTTTCAGTCGAATTAAACTATGTGCTCACCAGCGACATTAGTAACGTGGCGATGGAGAGACTTGCATTAGTGTTCATAGGAATAGCTTGGTGAGCCACTTAAAACCCAAATTCTTCCCTTTTGTCCTATCGTCTTCTACTATTGCTGCTATTATCCTCAACCCAGTTCTCATAGATCAATTGTCATGCAATCGCTTTTTTATCAGTTGCAAATCATGCTTCATTGTTCGCACAGAATACACCGTAAACGGGCGCTGCGTCTGAAAGCTGCATTCTGAAGCCGTTCAATTTTGTGCTTTGCTTCTGACGATTAATTGACTATCGGCTAAAACATACCAGAGCTATGATCTCATGATGAAAGAGAAAAGAAGAATGCTAACTTATTAATACCAACCGCAGAAGCTGCATTTGAGTGGCCAAAGCATGAGAATTCCTTTCCCATACATCTTGCTCTTTTAGACAAGTCTTTAAATCTCAGTGTGAGAGTACACCTGGGTCCTTCATAGAACCTATGATAGGCAGTTGTATACCGGATAAAGTGATCACCCACCTATCCTCGCTCTTCTCCTCGCTTTACCAGGTTCACCAACAGTCCGACCTGTGCTAACCCTATAGAAATGTAACTGAGGTTGTGCGAACGCAAGTTTTGTCGTCAGGAGTATCAATTATTCTCCATCGCCGCAGTTCATTCATAAGCGCATCACAAGGCGACAGGAGAAGCCGAGGTAATTACATGATGTCGATCAGAAAGAAAGGAGGTCTTAGCCATGTGCACGCCACCGGTAGATGGATACCAGTCGATTAGATGATCATACACCTGTGCCCTCCAATTTCATCTAATGAGAAACTCGCTGATGCAGTGAGCCACAGACATCACCCATCCTCACCGCTAGCAGAAGGACCTCATTATTCTCCTTATTAAAAGCTTCACAAAAATCAATGCAGATCATGTCGACTGAATCTCTACTGTTCACCGCATGCCAGCAATCACGTCTCGTCACGAGCACGTTTGTCATTCAATGCTGTCTTGTATGAAAGCGTTCTGAGCTGGTGTCAGGAATTCTTTCAATTCTAGGGGATGTAGCCGACTTTAACGTTCAAAGCCGCGGCCAGACAAATCAGCTGTAATTCTCCACTTGCTTGGGTCACCACAATTATAAATCGAATTTACTCCTGGGCATTCGCAGTCGCCCAGCAGTGAACCATAGGAAAATAACTTGTTCAATATCCCATTTATTTAAGGCGATATATTGGCCGATATCGACCTCAGCATTAGCTAATACAGCCATTCAAGACTGGTGGGATTCGTGCCATATTACTGGGGAGTACATAGCGTGCATTTTTTACACCGCCATCAAGACTGCCGATTTTGGTAGGTGCTATAAGCGTCAACGTCGATACGGACACCTAGCCAATTGCAATTACGGAAGTGAAGAACGCTACTGATGTGGACATACGCCCAGGACCGGAAGTAACAAGTGAACCGACCGAGTCTTCCAACAACGGTATGCCACCTAGTGGCTTCAGGTGCAGCTTTGCTTCGGTTGCAGGCTGCTTTATCAACTACTGACGCTTCTGTTTTTGAAGCTGTTGGAGATAATTTGCCGCTCCTTAAATTCTTCGTGATCATCGGAAAAACCAGATAGGAGGAATTTATTCCATAGCCCGTGTCGTGGTCGTGCCAACTGACCATGCTTCTTGTCGGATCAATATGGCTTCATTGGTGAAATTTTCAACGACTTGTGGGGTAGTGGTAGCAGTAGTAGTAGTAGTAGTAGTAGTAATAGTAGTAGTAGTAGTAATAGTAGTAGTATTGGCGATAGTCTAACGAATAGATCTAAAAGCAAACAAAGACATGGCAATCACTGGAAGAATACACGGTTAATCAGCGTACAATCGTCATGGCACATTGAGAATGTGAACCACTCGCTTCAGGTACAGTATCGCAAGGGGAGCGGAACATTCTGTTATTTTTGTCATTGTCTCACACGCCATGTTTTCAGTTTTCTTGTTCTTTTTAACGATTGGGTAATAATCATTTAAATATAGACAAGTTTGTACTCAGATCTTTTATTGGTTTCGGTTACGTGCCATATGCTGAACTGTTCTCATCCCTCGGTACACCTCGTCTATTGGCCCCCAACTACGTGGACATTTGGTTTCTATTCAGCAAGACGAGAAGTCAACGATTTCATGTACTGTCGCCAAAGCAACACCGCCCAGTCGGTGGCATTGTAAAAGCAAAATGTTACTAATAGGAATTCATCCGACAACGCTTGAAGTGTTTCCCGTTGACAAACGACGAGCGGGATTTGGCGATGAGAAGGGAAAATTTCTTCTCCATGGTGTCACGGCAGACACACAGATGCCCAGGTAGACAAAGTTATCTGGTTGTTCAAGCCAAGTACCTACAAGAAGGAGCACGGAAATGGGTAATTGCCAATCCTGGAGCAGGACTTTACATATCGATGGGGTAAAGCACATTCCGCATTTAGATGCCTCAATCGCCAAACAGTTTAGAATGGTTTGCATACGCTGCCAGTCATCACCAAGTAAAGTGATGTTATCGGCACAATTAAAGTCGGTCACTCGCCTGCCCAGTAGTAGCTGCAGACCAAAATGTTGAGAACCTTCAAGAGCTCTCAACAGAAAGTCTTCAATCGCAAAACTGACGAGGAAAGGGGACATCCGGCAACCCTGTCGTGCACCGCCATCAACAGCGAACGACACTGAAAG